AGCCACTACAGGGGTTCAGACAGCCACATTTCCTGAGGTTCTCTCCAGCGCAATTCAGATCCAAACCCTATCCTGTCTTCAACATTTCTGTTGAAGTTTCAAAGAAAAAAACAAAACCCAAAAGGCAGGCAGTTTCAACCAGCCTGCTCGCAAGTTTCAAGAGATCTCCGTATTTATGCACCTTCCTAGAGCAGCCCATTAAGAGCAGAACAGACGAAGTGCCCACACGTGACAAGCTTCCTGAGCCAACCTTCTGCCAACTGCTGTGCTCCTTCAGTGGCACCAAACCTTCCACGCCCCCTCAGCAGCCCAGGCAGGCAGGCAGACGGCTCCAGCGCTGCGTTCCGTGGCAGCGCAGAAGGTGGCACGCAGGCCTGCGACAGCAGGCACGCGCACGCTGTGCAGCAAACCACGCCGCGGAACGGGCGCACGCCACCAGCCCCACCAAACCCAGGCAGCACCAGAGCGGTGCCAAGCCGCCGCGAAGCACACTGGGCGCTGCCTCGTGTTACGGCCTGAAACGGCAGAAGCTGCCGCCTTGAAAGCCCTGCCAAAATGCTGCAACTGCTAAAAACCTTCCTGCTTTCAAATATGCTAAATATGAAAACACAACCAGGAGGTTTCGATGATTTTAGTGGAAGACAGCATAAAAGTATTAAATTAACACTTGCAAATTGGCATGTCTTGTTGTTTTAATTAGACAGAAGAGAGATGCTTCCACTTGTCACACCCGAACTTCCAAATTCTGCAGAAATTCAGATCCAAATTTTGCTCCTCATATACCTGACGTACATATACCTGATGTACATAATTTCTAATTAAACCTATTAAGACAGGCTTCATTTAATAAAAATACCTATGCATTTGCTCTGATTTAAACAAGAGCACGAGAAAAAACAGAAATCCATTACCAGCTTCACGGGCAGAGAGACAAAGCTGACACATCTGCCGAGTGCAAAACTGTTTTTCAACAGAACCTGCCCCGTGGATACGCCCAAGATTGAAATTACTTTCGGTAGCAGCCTTTGCCTTTCATTCTTATTACTTGCTTGTTCGTGCATCGTGTTGATTTTTTCCCCTTTGATATTTTTGCCTGTCATCTAGAAAGAAATGATAATTTCTGTCCACCCTCTGGCTTCCCCGCACCACGGCACGCAGTCACTCCGTGCCGAAGGAGCTGCTCAGCCACCAGCTACGAATGCGCAGCAGGTCTGAGCAGCCACGGGAGCGGGAAACCCAGAAAGACCCCGCAGCCGAGGCCCAGCACACAGTGGGGGGGCCGCGC